TTAACTTATTTTTTTGAATACAAAATATTCAAGCGTTCAATGCATACAATTTGCGGCAATTTTTTGTTTGTTGTTTTTTCAAAACAAATGCTTATATTTGTTAACCAATTGTTGGTCTGCTAATGACTGTAAGGGCCCGATAGCTAAACGCCAGATCTGAACCAGAATCTGGTGACAAATCTATTGATGTGTAACTAAACGAGTGTTTGCCTGCATATAAGCACTCAATTGATCTCTGGTTTGACGATTGCAGCAACAATTTGGTTGAATTGAGATTATAATAAAATGTCTTTTAAATGAAATTAAAACAAACGATTAATGTATAAAATGATTAGTCAAGTGATTGGATGTACAAAAAACACAGTTTCAATAATTTTGGTTTTGATTGTTTTCGGTTATTATCAGATATAACTTTCAGTGACTTTCAAATTGATTCATACCTACCACTGAATGAAGAACTATAGATGAAAGATATGCCTAAAACAGTGATATAATGATTGTAACGAAGACACCATAAATGAGAAATGAATGTAATTGTAAGTGAGAAACACTGTCGTCATCGTTGTCCTCATTATTATCGTTGTCTTCGTTGTCGTCGTAATCACTTTCATCGCTGTTATCATTCACTTCGTATTCTTTGAGCAATTTTTCAACTCTGTCTTCACTGCCATTATTGGGATGACTCGGAATTGATAACAAACGGCAGAACAGGTTGTAGTGGTCGACCATTTCCAACGGTTCCGACACGTAGTTCCGTCGGAACGACGGCCCGAACCCATACATAATGGCCCGCATTTCGTCGACATAGTCGGCGTCAAAGCCATGGCCACCACCTTTGGGCTCATTGTCTTCGCTGCGCTCGTAATCCGGATATACTTTGGATTTAATGCGCGGCTAATCGTAAAGAAATGTTATCAATATATTTATTAAGACATTGCAATTCAATAATACTGACCGCTTGTATGAGATATCCCTTATCGGTGGTCAACAAAATGGGTAAAACGTTTTTATTGTTTTTAAAGTGAAACTTTTCGGGAATATTATCTTTTTTATAAACATTAAGGCCTTTGATCTCCGCTTGTCTTAACTCTTGGTAAACCTGAGAGTAAAACAATTTATATAAAACAATACATTTAC